CCCCTCCTCACACCCATGTGTCCTCAACCTGCTGGCTGGTCCAGATGGAAGTTGGCTGGTGATGATCACATGCACCCTATCAACACCAGGTTTAGGGAGAACACAGATATTTCATCTCAGCAGCTGGCACCACACAGATAGAATGTGACCTGTGGTTCTATTGCAGCAACCAGCGCTGATCATTTGCCTCACTCATGCAGAGCCTGCCAAGCAGCTGGTTTTGTTAACACCCAGCATTCCCTTCCCCCTAAATGAGGTTAGTCAACATTATTTGCTACAGTGCTGACACTGAATCACAGAATCATTAAGGTTGGAAAAGATGTCTAAAATCATTGAGGAAAACTGTTAACTCAGCACTGCCAAATCCACCACTACAGCACATCGCTCAGGTCTGACTCCACCATATCCCTGGGCAGGCTGTTTAAATGCCTAACTACCTTTTCAGTGAAGAAATTTTCCCTAATATCCACTGCCAACCCGCCTGGCATAAAGCCCTTCATTCCAGTAGTTGTAGAGAGTGACTGAGACTCCCACCACTCACTCCAGCAACTAACACCACAAGCCAGGGGCATCTACATCCCTCATCAGCATTACAGCAGCTGGCACCCAATTCTCTCACAACAGTCCCCCACTATCTGGCACTGAGTCCTTCCAGCATGCACATACATAGGACAGACAGTGAGATGACACAGAGAAGGAGGTAAGAGAAGATTTGATGGACTTAAGATAGACTGGGCCAATCAGCCTTAGGAGTCTGCCAGACAAGCATACTGACCTGCCATAGTTTACAAGCAACTGGCCCCTTTTCTGTCTGTTCCTCTTTCTTTTCTCCCTCCCCTGAACACTGCCCAATTTATAAAGACTGATCAACTCCCCTCCAACATTCTGAACCCCCAGGACTGCATTCTTATCAGTTGCAAAGTACCATTTGCCCACAGTTTATTGATAGTTGTTCAGTGTGACTGATGAGGTTGGCTTCTTCTTGTTGTCTCCATTATGATTTGCCTGTCAGGTTTGGGTCTCCACATACTTTGGTTCCCCCTTCTCCTTAGAATCCCATTTGACAAGGTCCTTGATCAGAAAATCATACTGGAATAAAAAATCCTACACTTGACCCTTACTATTTTGTGTGACTCACCAGTTTTAGTTCTTATCTCTGCCTCCCTTATTGGTCAGACAGGTTTGTGTCTCTCTGTTCCTGTTTATGGCTTCCTCCTTTTCCTAATATCCCCTTTTGTGTTGAGAAAGTCCCTGATCAGACACCTTAAGGGGCAGACATTCTTCTTCCATAGATTCTTACAATTATCACAAGACTGATTAAATTACCATAACTGTGTTACAAAGAAATATGGAACAGAATATAGCAGAAAACATGAAAGGAAATTTTTTATTTTTCAGTTATACAAATAAAAAACAATCCCCATAGCTGTACTTGAAATAAGAACTAACAGTGTCAAACATGGCAATTCTGAAAGAATATGTATCAATACTTTAAACCACAAAAATTTTATGACATACACTCAGTAGCAATAGTACTCTCCTTTATCTACATTTATAACAATTGTGCTTTTCCTTGCACAAAGTAACAGTGCTCTTAAAAATAAATAATGTGCAATTTCAGAGTTCAATCCCGAAATATGCTAATCTAGATCCCCATGTAAATCCTGGACATGTCTCTCCCAGGAAAGTCACTGCAAAGAGTGCTTAGCACTTTGCTAGATCAATCACTTAAAAAGGTACTGAACCTGCACCTGTTTTTCTTCAAATTGCAATTAGAGAAAAAGTACTGACCTCAAACATGTTGCTTATATTTTCTAACAAAAGAATGATACAGTCATTACTACACATCAGACTCAGATTTGAAAGGTTCAGTAGATCTTATATCTGGAGAGTGGCTCAGAGCTGTGGAAGAGAACTGTCCCAAAGCTGGAAAGTTAACAATCAAACACTTATCTATTACTTGTATGAAATATGAAGGACTGTCACAGAAACATTAACATGTATCTTAATGAACAATTTACAATCAATTTATCTGAAGGAAATCAAGTTGTTTAATGCAAAGCTGCCATAACCTTTGGAAAAACAGATGCAGTCTGCTGTTTTGATTTAATTTCCAGTTCTTATTTTTAATGTACATTTAGGAACTACAGCAGGAAACTGATATAGCTGATGAGAGGATAAATTTGAGGAACGCTCTGAACCCAACTGATTGGCATTTCAGTTGTTCCTCACCAGGGCAGATACATGAGGGATCTTTCTTTTTATCCTACTATTTTGTTTTAATTATTGACAGTATTGGATTATAAAAGTGGTAATTATAATATAAATTGATTATCTGCTCTGCGCTGATGGCAGCAGAGGTGTGAATATAGATAAAACAACATAAATTACCCAAGGCAGGTATGAAGGCTTAAGCTGTTGACTGCTAACCAGTAAAGGACTGCAAAGTGAAATCCATTCCACCTCAAAGTCTCTAAAGAGCAGTTAAGACTTTGCTGCAATGTCCTGGGTCACCTTTAGGGAAGTAATCTGTTTTTCCATTTAGATTCTGGGGTGCCTTAACAGAAATGCTCCAAGAGCCCAGGAAATATAAGGGAAAGATAAGAAGGGTGTCTGCAATGAATCCATTGCTACAGCTTCCCAGCTGTAGAATGCAAACAACAAGGAAAGTCCTGGGCATGTCTCACCTCAGGTCACCTTAGACTAAACAGTAACTGGTGGTCACAAACCATCTCAAAACAATTTGTTTTTGAAACATCAAACCACACACCAAAGAGCCACCCAGAATCTTTGGGCTCCACATGGACACAGGTCTTATACAAGAACAAGCGTAAAATGACCCCTAGTTTTTGTAAAAACCAACACAGTCAGACAACAACTACCTCAGAGAATAGTTTGAGACCCACCCCTCAGTCATCACACCTCAGCTCAGGATAAAGTGAGGCAGGTGAGAGAAGAGGTGTACTGGTGTGGAGTCTCATGGTTTTGGAAAGGAGACACACCTAGGTGCTGGTTTAAAGGGAGAGTGCTGTGAGAAGGATGAGTGTGGATGACAGCTGAGTGCCCTGAGCTTATGGCTCACAGTGTCCAAGAGTGTAGTACTGAAGGTAGAAAGCCTGCAGAACATGAGGTTAAGGCCCAGTTTTGAGGAGGTACGGGAAAACTCTATTGTCTTTGAAGCAGGTACTACTGTCATGTCTTGTGCCAAACCAAGTCAGAGAAATTTAGTGATAGGGTAAAAATCTGGACTGCATGGCTTTCGTACTAAAGTTAGCTTCACTTGCAGAAAATCAAATGTGATGCATGCAAAACCAAGGCTTAGGCCAAGGTTTAATTTCTCTGCTGACTTTTAAATGCAAATTCTCTCACCTATCTTTCTATTTACATGATACTCTTTTCATGTATTCATTTGCACAAACATTTTTTTTTACTGCCAAGGAATGCGAGAGTACCCATTTTGCTGTCATAATGGGTACACATAATCAATTGGCATACTCAAACCTTCCACAGGTGAACAAAATTACCTGTCAGTTAATATTTTAGACTACTTGAGCATGAGGTTTGTCAATGGCCTGACACTAGAGAGAAGAAAAGACACTCCCAGAAGATAAAGTTGAGCAGATGTTTCTCTGAGCCTCTGAGAGACTAGCAATCTGTGAATTCTTTATTTCAATAGCAATTTTGTCAATGTACGTGAAATATGCTTTAGAAGACCAACAGTAGCAAAACCTTAACAGCAAGAACAAGAATATGCTTACCCTTAACTGAAGAAATAACCATGTATTAAAATGAAGGTGTACATAGTGAACAAATAGCACCCTCTGGTTTATAAACATCAAATTAAACACATTCCAGTCTGCATGGCTGTTTACTTACTCATGATGCCTTGGTTTCAGTGAGTTTCATGTTAGGACCACTTATTGCACATTAGCATGTGGCCAGAGTAAACTGTCCTAAGTAAAAGAGTCTGGTGAATAGGGAAAGATGTTACTGTATCTTATATATAACAAAACTGACTTTCTACTTCCTGTAATATTTGACTGCAAGGCACTGATTTAGCTACCAATAATCCCAGATCTCCAATCATGCATAAATACATGAACTTAAGAAAATGGGTAATAAAGAGCATTTTCAGCTAATAAATGTCTGTGAGATTGGTAAAACATATAAAATTGCTCAAACGAATTAAAAATTCAGTAGATATGCTGATATTTGGAGATCAGGACCTAATGTAGCTCTGAAAATATTAAAAGAAAATATCCATACATTATACCTGCATTCCTACTCCTTAACCAAGCATAACAGGAAAGATATGAAACCATAATGTTACCTATTTATGTGCTCCTTTAGCACTAAAATACATGATAGGATAACAAGTTTTGTTTCTTAATGTATGCCGTACTGACACTACACCCTCTCCTATGCTCCTGTAATTTCTTGTTTTCTTTTTTTGGAAAGAAGGAAGTGAAAGAACTCTTGTTTTTTTTGGATAAACAAGACTGATGATCAAAAAACCAGCTGTGAGATAATGTGCTATTTCAGTCAGTTACACATCAGAACATCTAAATTATACAAGAGGTATATTAAATAAAGAGATCATTTAATAGCATTAGAAGTTTAAAAGAACTGTATGATCTACATCTTTTCCCATTAATTGGCTAGGTGGTTTTTTTTCCCTTTAGTTCCACTGTCACCTGAGTTTCTTTAGACTTTTTCCTTCCACCAAGAATAAAACTATATACATACATATATGTATATATATATATATACATATATATATACACACACACATATGTATTTGAATACATCAAATAATTTCTTTACTCCTGCAGATTTTTCTGAAGAATTCTATATGTGAAGTCTATAAAAGACTTTTGATTTGAGATGCTTAAAAAATATAAATAACAAAGAATATGTTCCTTTAAGCAGCAAAGAAACATAAATCCACACAATTTCTCCAAGATAAGGGAAAAATGTGTATAAAAGTAATCTTTGGCACTGAAAACAAGGGCACCCTCTTGAATGTCTTCAAATCTGTACAGGAGAGAAAAACTTATAAGTCAGATGGCATCTGTGTGGTTTCATGTAATGGGTACTGACAACAGTATCTAGAAAAACAATTGGGATGTTGAGGACTGTGTGACAGCAGGATGCAACACAATAACACTTGGTAAAATATTTGATGTTCCACTCCACCCTCCTATGCTTACAAATCTTTATTCCTTAAGACAATTCCGTAAGATAAAAAAATGTAATTACTCATAACATCCTTGAAATCTGGTATGGGCTCCAAAACTTAAAAGCAACAAAACCCAACCAACTGCAATAAAAACAGCAACAAAAGCTGAGGTTATAATACAATATCAGAAACAGTTCTCTGATTGAAGGCATTTACTGATTTTTTTGATCTTACAGACTTCACTTTCTCTGCTCAAATCCATCATGATATTTTCTGCCAAAGCCTGATTTATTTACTCAAGTAAATATTCCATCCACTGGGTATTCTTGTGTGGGCTGTCTGACCACAGCTGCAAATTGGCAGGCTCTTTTTCTTCTTTAATTCATGATGAATGTGTCACTGCATCCTGTAAACACTACTGAGCATACATTCAAGCTTTCGTTTTACTGAAAGTGGCACTTGAACCCTTGCAGTCAGGATAGCTTAGTTATATATAGCACTTTACAGGTATAATAGCTGGTTATGTACTTCTGATATAACATGTTCTTCCAATGACTTAGTGGGTATCGAAACAAATCCCCACTGTGATCCCATTGCCATTTCACATGATCTTTATGATCTTTATGATGAGGTGTGTATTCTGTATTTATTGTACAATACTAGTGCTATATTGCTGTATGCATTTCCCTGTTGTCAATTTAAGTGCTCCTCTATTATGTAACACATACAATGTTTTAAACTCTAATGGCATCCTATGAGGACTGGCATTAGAAAAGTATCGATACTTCAGATCATCATAGTAGTGATACTTGACTGGTTTTCCAAGTAAATCCTTTGGGAATGGCCAAAATCCGTACAGATGAATTTCATCACAAAATCTGGTGGCAAGCGTATACATGAGGAGACCAGTGCTGGGTCGTTTAATGTGCACCTTGTTTGTCAGCCAATAGCTGCAAAGAAAGAAAAAGTGCATTAACAAACTCATACAACTTCACGTGAATAAATTCTGTGAACTTATTTTATCTACTATGCGTTCATTTTACACTATGAAAAGGTGAAAGTCTCCTTTTCTCTAAACTGAGATCATAATGACACTGTTCTGGTGCACCTTTATTCCTCCTAGAGGTAAAGGGAAACCTTAGCACAGTGCTGGAAAAAACCTGGCCAACTAAGAGACTTAGTTCAGGCTTTAATTCCAACACAACATCATGTCTGCAGAAGCTAGAAGACTGTAGTTAACCTCCTCAGCTGGATCAGGGAACAGTCTCTTGCTATAAAAAATCTGACCTGTTGTGGTATCCAGTTCATGTGATCAAGTGAGCCCTATGTTGAATATTTGATTGGTCTGGTGGTCACTTCATAGATTGCTTATCTAAATATAAAGCAAATGGAAATGGTACACCTAAGTTAAGAATGTAACTTTCAGACGTCAGTAAAAGAGAAGCTCGGTTTACTTCCTTGTGATTAAACACATAAAACTACCTGTTGTTAAAGGTAGTCTCCAGATAAGCAAAACCTTAATGCTACTGATTTTTAAAAGGCTTTGTTTTGTACTCAAACATTCAGTGGTCTGACTGAGGCTACAGGACAGTTTTCCTGAGCCAGTACCAAGAAGTCTGGTACTGGCTTTAAAAGCAGCAGAGAGTTTTCAAAGACACAAATGGAAACATAGCTGGATTCCAGCACATAGCTCATGTTAGTACCCTCAAAGTCTGTCACCAACACTGTTCTACATCTCTAACCTTTAAAATTAGAACGTCATTAAAATAGTCCCAGCTATTGCTGGCAAGACACTTCTCCCAGGTCTGATTCAATAGAAAGTACACTAGAACTTAATGAAAATAAAAAAGGTCACTTAGATTCTTAAACCTGGTCATTCTTTTAACTTGGACAAACAGCAAAGCACACAGCTGTACTGACTGGACTGTGGAATTGTGTGACTGCAAGTAAGGGAAGTAAGTACGACTTAGCATTACCACACAAATGTAAAACCATTGCAGTGTGGCACTGTACTCTTAGTTATAGACTGTGAATTGCTGTGGATCTACCAGAGTCTAGGAAAAAGATCAAGTGAGAAAAGCCTCACCAGACCAGAGTTAGCCTTGTTTTAAATGGGATTTCAATAAGGCTGAAACTTAAAATTATACGTCCAGAGTGCTACAAAGGCACTAATGATGTAGTAGAAGGAATGTCCCTGCCCCCCCAGTATGAAACAGGACAGCAAAACTATGCCTTTAATCAAAGCTTAAAGTATGTTAAAAGCAACAGTTAATATGCAACATTTAAATTAACCATCCCATTGAAACTGGCCTTTTCAGTTTCATTCTTTGCCAAAACCATAGCTTTGAATCATAGATAGGTACGCATGTGAAAGCTAGTTTGGCATTTTTGGTGGGTTCTTTGATTTTCTTTGTTCTGTTGCTGTTGGCTTTTTAAAAATTTGGTTTGTTTGTTTGTTTGTTTGCATTATACTGAAGTTTAGTTTTTGAAAGCTGAAGGACCCTGCAAGCAGAAAACAGTTCTGAGCTGAGTAACTGCTTCTCCAAAGCCACCATAGGGAGAATTTCACTTGGCTGTAAAAACAGGACAGTGAAAAGCATATTTAAGGGGTGAATGCAATTGGGAATGGGTACATCTACAAATGACACATGCATATGTAATTTTTTATTGTCTTCATAAACGCCATTTTTTAGACATAACATGCTAAGCAGTTTTCTAATAAACTCTGATAAACTGCAACTCTAAGACAAGAAAGGAGAGACTCCATTCTAGAAAATAAATGTTTATTTATGGAAAAGTTGCTGGAGAAAGAAATCAGAACACTTTTAGCACTTCACAGTGCTAAAAGTAGCTGTCTCTTGAGAAGTTGGTACTTTAGTCTCATGCAATCATCCATCTAACATTAATGTTTCTAGCCAAAGAGCAGTCAGAACTGATGCATCTCGTACTACAGGGTACCACTATCATTCCAGCTGAATTTCAATCTTCCAGGAATAAGATGCTCATAGCAGAAAATTCAATTAGTAAGCAGGTAAATATGAAAAGGGCACTATATCTTAAGCATTTCTGTGCAGAAATAAGTATGTAATGAAGGAATAAGATGCAATGAAGACCCTCTTAGAATTTAAGAGTATAAAAACATATATTCTCTTCTGTTTCTTATATTCAGGTATTATACAAATCAGAAGTTTAACTATTTGGTATTTCTTAAAATCAAAAAGATACCCGTAATCTCTCTTTATATATATTGAAAATATAGTCCTTGATGTAATTGCTATAATAATTTTGTAACTTGGGATCAATTATACTTCAGATTAAAAAAACAAAAAAAAAGAAATGCAACACATGAAACAGTTGGAGGCACTCAGTGCTCTAGGCTGATGCTTCCTAAAGATCATTTATCTCTGCAAATTCCTGGCTCCCAACGTCTGCTTGAATGAAATTATCAAGTGGTGACACAAATCTCAAGTAGTCTTTTTGATCTGAAAGATATGTGCCAACTTTTCAGTCGCTCAGGTACCTATTCTAATCTCTGAGTTAAGGCTGATTGGGGGTGATCGAAGTTATAGATGCTTTAAGCAATAAGCATCTTTGTACCTGTTTTTAGTTTCTGGAGTTTTATTATTGCTTTAGTTTAAAGCATAAATATACTCTCCCCATATACTTTTCTGGGATGCACTCATTTTCTGTTTAACTAAGATTACATCATGAAGGAAGCAACTAACTATAGAATTGAATGAGAATTTCTCTTGTTTCTCATATCTCTAGATTTTCAGCCATGACCAATTCCTGATTTTCCAGCTGGATACAGCATCAGCTTAACTGACAGGACTAGGTGGATCTCACCATGTGAAAAAACAGTCATCACTATGAAGTCTGTAACTGGCCACACAGTGCACCACTACTCATTTTCTTGATGCCTCATGCTAAAACAACTCTTTTGTGGGGCCTGAAGCCTGAATTTATTGAAGATTAGTGAATGTGCCAATGCATAAACACTCTTTAATCCTATAATTCCTGTGACTTGAGGTTGAGTAGTTTGAATTTAAAGAGATCTCACTTCAAATTACTTTAAAATATATGGTTGATGGTAATGTAGTAAAGACACTGGCAAGATGTCATGAATTTCAATTTATGTAAAAGTAATCTCTAGGGTAAGTGAAAAACAGCACAAATATAGAGTATGTTGAACCGTCTGCAATGAAAGGAAGGTCAGATCTGTACTTAGGTCCATGTACTTGCATTTTATAAAATTGCTGTTAATAAATACCATGTTTGCAACAGGTAACTAAAAAGCCCCATAATACACTGCAACAGTAAGTGTATCATACTTACAACAGTAAGTGAGGGTCACCCTGATGACAGCAGGGGACTACTAAAAATGCCTCTTCCATGAAAAGAAAGGGTATTTGGGCAGGTACTGGTTCCTGCAAAAAGTTCCTTGTGCTCCTACTATCATTCTGTCAATTTTCACCTCAGCTCCTCATCCCAAATCTAAGCATCTTTGCCTTCAACACTTCTTACCCACGTCAGACATATTAGGTAGTGAGTCATGGCCACACATCCAAGAACATTTTCACACAGTCTAATATGCATCTCTCTTCTAGAATCCATTCTTTTTACAGAGCATACACTTTTCAAATAGATTTCACATGATTTTAAAATCTGAACAATGATCTCTTGCATGTATCACTGTATTTTACATTAAAAAATGAAAATAATCAAAGACATTTTTGGTATTTCTGTTAGTACCAGAAATAAATACTGTCAATAATGGATTTCTGCCAGCATTATATTTCAGATGAAAAAAATACTTTTTGATGCTTTAAACATGCATGTTTTTTCCTTCATTTTTATTACTAGCTTAATGAAACAGTTTCTATATGCAGTTCCACACCATAAATAAAATACAGGTCTTACAATTCTGGATGTTAAAATGTATTTTTTGTCACAGATCCTTATTTGTCTCCACTAAGATACTACAAAAAGACATTAGAATTATATAAAGAATTGATTTTTTTATATTGAGGCATTGGTACAAAACCTAAACTTTTCAGTAATAATGACTTTTAGAAGTATCATGACATTATTTGTATTGGAAGGAATGTCAGCAGACCTCTGACAGATCTAAGTCCAATGTCTTTCTCCAAGGAGGGCTCCTCAGCCACGGCTGGCTGGACCTGTGCTCCAGCTGAAAGAGATGGTCTGAAGTTTCCCTCACTTTTGCCTCATGACTGTTGCAAGAACAGAGACTGGGACCACTGAAGATCCTATTCAGAGTTCTGGCCTGGTTGAGGTGGATGCCTTGCCAAGTGATTGATTGCAGCTGTGTTTACAGTGCCACCATGGTTTACTGCTTCTAGCAGGGCCTGCCAAGGAGCTTGCGCTTGTTTCATGACCATGGCCCATGAACTTCCCCACCTCTTGGCCAAATGACTTTCAGGGGTAACTTTGGTGGTCCCTCACAGAAAACCCTTCATCTGCTTCACTACCACTGTGATGGATAGAGATTGAAGCCCCCTCCCAAGGACTCCTGTAATCCTAACACAGTGAGGGGGTTGTGCTGGCCTAAGCGAAGCGAGCCCAGGTGTGTTCTCTGGACCAAGAAAACAATGGGTCTCGCTCACTGCTGAGAACATGGACTCTGTACCCGTTCTCAATACCTGTTCCCCCTCAGCAATTTCAATAGACTTATTCTTTATTGTATCTGTTCCCCCTCGGTGATTTCAAGATCTGTTTCCCCCGTCGGCAAAAGACTATGACAGATCCCTGAGTTAACCAGGACTTTGAGTTTCTCACTGATGTGACAATTCTCCCTGTGTCCAAACCATCGAGGATTTCATCCCTGCGTTGGTAGGTATACCCATTCCCCTCTCTCTCTCCCTGTCTCTCATTCTCTCTCTCTCTCTCTCTCACCTCATTTCTTCCTTTCTAAATCCCTCTATCGCAT